AGCTGTAATAATGCATATATCCTGATGGGTATAGCTGTAATAACGCATAGCAGCCCTGATGAGTATAGCTATAATAATAACGCATAGTGGTCCTAATCGGTATAGCTATAATAATAACGCATAGCAATCCTACAGGGCGCACCGCCCATCGCCCCGCCTGCACAGGAAATTACAGCTAGAGCGACCAAAGTTCACGGGGAGGGACTTAGGGCCGAAGTCACCGACTCACAGTCCCAGTGTCTTTATGAAAATGACACGGCAGTCTACCCTTAGTATGTAGAGCGCTGGGGATACTGCGGCGTATATCTTCAGTGTAAACCAAGGTAAGTCATTTCAGCGGTTCTTTCTGAAACTGGCTTCTGAGTATGAGACATTGGTCAGCAGTGTTCTCAGTAATTTATTGTGTATTTCTCGTATCTAATACTAATTACGTGTACGTAAATGCATGTATTATATCATGTTAATAATTATTGTTTTTGCCTCATGTTAGAGAAACGTGAAGAATCCGCACTGTTATGCTCAGAGCAGTTACTGCAATTGTGGTCGGCGTGTGTCAGAACAAAACTGTCACTAAAATTCACCCTGTCAAGGTACGTGTATAAAAAATAATCGGTTAACTGCAGGAGGGGTTTTCAATTTTTCCAGGGACCATCGAATAAAAATACACCAGAGCCAGGGACCCCCCTGCCACGAATGTGTGATACTATAGCCTCATTTAGAAATAAGTCAAATAACTGTAAAGAAATTAAACAAGTAACCGGTGACTGACCGGGGGGCGGTGCCGCAAAGTGTTTTTCTCTCCGGCTATGGTGGTAGGTTGTGTTGACTATCAAGTTGAATATGAAATACGTTTCAAAAGTTGAAAACTTTCTGTTTTTAAGAAGAGGAAATAAGAGCGGAAGGGAGTAATGGGATGATCTTCCCGTGGCTAATAACAGGCAATGAGAGTATCAACAATACGTTTTGTAAAGTTTTGCAAAGGGTGTTTGCTTTCTTCACCCGACCCTTGAGCTACAGATGAACTAACATTTTACACCTTATTTGCAGATTTTTCCAGTTACTGTACTAAGTAATAATAAAATGAACGACTAATCTATCCCTCCAGTAATATTAATGTAAGACGCAATTAACGTTTTTTTTTTTGCTTAGATAATGATGTCACGACAGCTGTACGCGCGCAGAATTGAAGGAGTGGACAAAAATATTTGGTAATTACTTGCATGGTTACTGGCCTAAAGCACTACGGATATTTAAAAGAATTGCATATTAAATATATTGAGTTACGTACTCTGTTCTTTTACAATAAATCTGTGACTGGTAACACTCTGTAGAAGTCTTTGGCTTACTCACTGGGGGGTCCTTACGAGGCAGAAATGTAAAGCGCATTGAGACAATGTAATATTGTGATAATGCGCTATATAAATAAAATTGAATTGAATTGAATTGAATGTCATGTAGAAAAAAATCAAATGGTAATTTATTTTGGGGTTTCATCCACATGCACAATTTTTAGTGAACAGATAACATTAATTGCTCTCAATGGTACAAAAATGTTTGTGTACCTTAAAAGGTACAATTATATCTTCAGCTGAGGGTACAACTGGCCTATCCAATCCCAAGCAAAGGTACAAATTAGCACCATTTTTTCAGAGAGTCTGTAAACTTTTTCAGCTTGGCACGAATGTTTCTGGCATGAGCTTTAAAAAACGTTAAACTATAGCAGTTATTATACCGAATGGTATACTATACCGAATGGTATACTATACCGAATGGTATATCAGAAGAGGAGACTCCTTATGCATCCATAATTATACTGAATATGGATTTTTTTTCCCTATAATATAATTCTGGCTTTCATGTGGAAGTGCCTTATATCACATTGTATATCCTGGTGTCTCCATCCCTTCCCGCTCTGCTCCTGGCATATAATAGGTAACCCACACAATAACGCTCTACTCCTACAGACGACACTGGATAAGGTTCAGTTCTTGCGGTTAATAAATAACCTTGTATTTTAAATAGAAACCTGGTGAACACATTTCACATATATCCTGCCTCATTATTCTGCAACCTTAAGTTCTGTGTACTGTAAATGTATATATTTTGGTGCAACTCTAAGATGTAATTTTTCTGTAAATGAGTGAGTATTGGAAGGTTTAGATTTTATGCATTTCATTTGAAGGGATATTGGTGACCCCTTATACTTCCATATGTTGAGCCCTATTCTTTCAATATATTGTTCTCTGTGCAACTCGGAAAGCAATCAGGAACAGTAATCGCTCCTGGCCACATGTGTGTTTTGGTCCTGGCAGGGTGGAGTTCACTCAGCTGGCAGCGGATTATAAGGCCGTGAACCTCGGCCAGGGTTTTCCAGATTTCCCTCCACCTGACTTTGTTCGGGAGGCTTTCCGTCAGGCTGTGAGCGGAGAATACAGGCTTCATCAGTACACACGTGCTTTTGTAAGTTCCTTGTTTTCTGATGTCTTATTTATTATAAGAATATTAGAGAGTTGAATGATGTTCTGTTGCAAACTTAAATACAACCCGAATTCCAAAAAAGTTGAGATGCTGTGTAAAATGTACAAATATATGCTCAATTTGAATTTGATGCCAGAATCACGTTTCAGAAAGGTTGGGGCAGGGGCAGCAAAATTCTGGAAACATTGTGTAATGCTAAAATAAAACACAACCAATTAGGTTAATTGGCAAAAGGTCAGTAAGGTGATTGGTTATAAAAAGAGCCCCCCAGAGAGGCAGAGTCTCTGTGAAGTGCAGATGGGGAGAGGTTCAGCACTCTGTGCAGTGAAGATGGGGAGAGGTTCAGCACTCTGTGAAAGACTGTGTGGGCAAAAAGTGCAACAATTTAAGAATAATGTTCCTCAATGTAATATTGCAAGGAATTTGGGAATTTCATCATCTACAGTACATCTTTTTCAGAGAAGGCCTTGTATGTTTCAGCAAGACAATGCCAAACTGCATTCTGCACATATTACAACTGCATAGCTCCGTATTAGAAGAGTCCAGGTACTAGACTGTTCTGACCGCTGTCCAGACCTGTCACCCACTGAAAGCATTTGGTGCATCAAAAAAACGAAAAATACAACAAAGGAGACCCTTAACTGTTGAGCAGTTGAAATCCTACATCAGGCAAGAATGGGACATTTCACTTTCAAGACTCCAGCAACTGTGGCCTGTATTATGAAGCGGGGTTACTGGCTTATCGGGGTAACTTGTTGGATTTAAGGTACCACAGTTTAAATGGACTTAATATTCGTTCACTTACATTTTGCCTAGAATACCAGTCTGCATATTAGCCTGTTTTTGGTGGAGAACTGCAGTTAAGTCATAAGGTGACAGGAAATGGTGTTACGCCCTCACAGGGCCATCCGCCTCTCGTGAAGATGCTAGCCAAGTTCTTCGGAAGGATTATGGGCCGGGAGGTCGACCCGATGGAGGATGTCCTGGTCACCGTGGGTGCGTACGAGGCCCTCTTCTGCGCCTTCCAGGCCCTGGTGGACGACGGTGATGAGGTAGTCCCGATGCTGCTTCCTCCTCAACATCTGTTTCGCACCCTGACTTGTCTGACATTAACTCTGAAATTGATTTTCCCAGGTGATCATCATCGAACCATTTTTCGACTGTTACCAGCCGATGGTTAAAATGGCAGGAGGAAAACCTGTTTATGTCCCCTTAAGGCCCGTGAGTCCTGCCTATTATGATTTAATAATTTCTTAAATCCTAACTGAATGGAAACCTCTCCCATCTTTATATATATGCAATTGTTATGAATTAGAGCTTAGGCTTTAAATTGATTTGTAACTTTTGTCAAGGTTCATGGAAACTAAATTTTAAATGCATCTGCTCTCTTAGACAAAGGACAGATCTGTATCCAGTGCAGATTGGGTTTTGTCTCCTGACGAACTGGCCAGTAAATTTACACAGCGCACGAAAGCCATCGTTCTGAACACGCCGAACAACCCGCTGGGAAAGGTGACGGTCTCACGTTACTGAGGGCCATGCCAGTGTGACACTCCTGTGGCTGTACTGATTGTCACTGCACTCTGCCCCCGGCACCTCGACCACTACAGGTGTACAAACAGGAAGAGCTGCAGCTTATTGCAGACCTGTGTGTGAAGCATGATGTGGTGTGCATCAGCGACGAGGTGTACGAGTGGCTGACCTATGAGGGAGCCAAGCACATTAAAATAGGTGTGTCCTTTTTTTTTTTAAAAAAAAAAAAACTGAATACTTGATTTACCCAGATCTCTATAATACCTTACTAGGGTTTGAGGTTATGAACTATGCTCATCTTGCTGTTTAATGTGTTAATTGCTTTTTCTGAATTGTCTGCGCAGCTAGTCTGCCTGGAATGTGGGAGCGAACGATAACCATTGGGAGTGCGGGGAAGACCTTCAGTGCCACGGGATGGAAGGCAGGCCTCCGGCAGACATCTGTTCAGCAGACCTGTGTATTGTTCTGCACCCCAAACTGTGTTTATATGATTTCTCTGGATTTCATATTAGGTGGGCTGGGCCATTGGGTTTGGACCCCTCCTGACGCATCTGAAAACAGTCCATCAGAACTCTGTGTACCACTGTGCCACTGCTGCGCAGGTAACCGCACATGAAATCTCTTATTGCGCAGCTCTTTTTGAACATTAATCAATAAGTAAACAAGTTATTGATTTTGATTTATTTTCCCATTCTTGTTTCCTTGTATATTGGTTACTAAAGAGTTTTTAATCGAGACAGCATTAGGCAGTCAACATTTGCATGTTGGTACTTCTTACATGGAATAGAGATCACTTTGCGGTGCGTAGATAATCACTTCCTGTCTCATGACCTGCCGCTCAGGAGGCGGTGGCCCATGGATTTCAGAGGGAGTTTGATCATTTTGGGAGCCCAGAAAGTTACTTCCTCCAGCTGCCTGAAAGGCTTCAGCTGAAGCGCCAGAAGCTGGCTGCGTGCCTTTCGAACGTTGGTCTTCAGCCTGTCATTCCGGAGGGAGGCTACTTCATGATCGCAGATATTTCGGCCATGAGTAAGTGCATCAGTCCCTTGCATGCATACATGCTAGGTCCTGTTTAGCCTGGAGAGGCTTGAGTCGGTGTTAAAAGCATTTGTGCACCTATTGTTTTATTGGAAGAGACGTTTAATATTTTCTCCCTTTTTCATGGGTAAGAGGTAGATCTGCCAGATTCCAAAGCCCAAGATGAGCCGTATGATAACAGGTTTGTGAAGTGGCTCATCAAGAATAAGGTAAACGCACCCATTACTCTCCAAATAACTGATCTAGATCAACCTAGATCTAGATCTATGCAAAGCAGAAAGGGCAGTAGGTCATAGAAATAGGTAATAGTGTCCATCATTGGTAAACCTAAAGCAAATCAACAGAAAATACACAAATTAGCTTCTGTGAACTTATAATAAGAATTCTCATTTGCTCTTTATTCAGGTTTGGGATTTTTGTTTTTATACAATTGCCCCAACAATAATTAGGATTACTACCAACAACATAGTAACCCAAGCAGTTTATATATGGGAATTTACTTTTCTCTTACAGTATCTGTACTATATTACCTTTTAAATACAATTTATCCCTTTTAAGGAGGGACGTATGGTATAAATATTCTGTATTGGCTATAGTATTGTTTTACGGGAGGTGATGTTCACATGCTTTTCTTGTTTGAACAGGGCTTAGCCACCATACCAGTGTCTGCTTTTTACAGTCCGGAACACTGCAAGGATTTTGAAAATTACATCAGGTTCTGTTTTGTCAAGGTAAACCTCTCCAAGGACTTGAAATGGCTCTAACAGTGTAAACCTGCTTCAGAGGCAATGAAGTCTTGTGCTCTCTGTGTAACAGGAGGACTCAACCCTAAACGCAGCAGAAGAGATTCTTAGGAAATGGAGTAAAAGCAGACTGCAGATGAAGTAGCCAGCCGTCACTCACACTCCTGTGTTACCCAGCATTAAAGGGACAATGTTACTCAGTGTCTACACACTCCTGAGAATGAAGACTTGTCAGTGTTGTCAGGTTACACTGCAAAAACTGGGCAACGACTATTTTGCCAACATATTTTATATTTTATGATATGAGATTTTAACTTATACAAGAAATATTGCACTATAATTGTGAAACTACTAACCCAATCTCAGCTGTAGAATTAGTAGAATCTGATGAGAATGCATACAGGCAAGGCTTTTTGAAAGGCTTGTTCTTAATTGTAACATGTACATGATTGAGTAAAAACCTATTGTCAGGTCAATCTAGTTTTAAATTATTATTTGCTACTTCTTAATGGGGTGGGAAAGTTTGACATTTTCCTTGTCATTTCTAAAGGTTAATAATAAGATTCATTAAAAAGTGTTAAAGTTAAAATGTTTATGTCAGTAAAGTTTATGGGTGTCATTTTTGGGTTCTGCTATATTTTGAACTTTAGCTTTTTTTTTTAACTCTAGGTGTTTAAATGTCCATTTAAAAACAATTTTCTCTCAGGTAGTAGCCTTTAGGTGAGCTAGACTGCACAGCAAATGGTGATGTTGCCTCACGCTGTGAACGGCGGCAGTTTTGAGACTGACCCCAGCTTGATTCAACTCTCTTTATGCGAGTTTCTGCTCTAGATCCCTTGACACAATTCAGGTGGCATGATCAGCCTAACTTACCTCAAGCAGCAGACCAGCATCCTGTATATGAACTACCTGTGGCTCCTGGAACACTGAGTCATCTTACCTTAATTTCAGAACTGTTGGCTGTTCTGTTTTTTCATCCATCCATCCATCCATCAATCTACTTTTGGCCCCTCATCTTGCACAGGACCACATGAGGGCCACAGTACAGGGCAGGGCAGGGGTACAATCCTGTATTGTTTTAAAATGCAGCATTGACTGAAAAACAGCATTCAGGTAAATATACTTATAGCCGTAAAACATAAGTGAAACTGTTTTTGTGCTCTGCAGAGGTGGAAAGTTCAGTTTCAGAAAGCACAAATCCAGATCAAGGTTTCAGTAGGTTCTGTGGGAATTTTGGGAATTAATGGTATACACTATATAATTAATGGTATACGCTAGTCAAGTGATTAGAACCATGATGGAAGGACAAGAAGAATAATTTAACTACCAAAGAATGATCTATTATGAGTCCTGTTGGTCATTAAAAACAGACATTTTTCCAGTGTGGCAAACTAAAGGAAGAAGTCAGGATGAAAAATGAGCTGGAAAGCCTGGTTTGTTCTGTCAATTTTTGCAATTTGAAACATTCTACCAAGAACTCTAAAGCATGCTGGCTAGAAGTGGTCATTCACTGAGTGCATATTGTCAGGTGATACAAAGATAAATGCAAATGTGCACCATGAACCTAAACTGTGAAATTCCATGCTGACGGGAACTTCCTGAAAGGCAACATTTAAGTAGAAATGCAGAATGATCTAGAATGTAACTCCTCTTTCTACCCAACACCAATAATCATAATTCCTTAATAACGGGGAAATTTTAATTATTATCTGTTGAAATTGTTCAGCAAAATGTACATATTTTAGTTGGGATGATTGTCCAGAGGCTGAATGTTGACACAAGAATTTTTTTGTCACAATGTCACATATTGGTTAAATGCAGAGGACACATTTCGTTGTTGTGCACTGTGTGCTGTGGTGGTGTGTCAACAATGATGACTGATCACCAAATTCAAACAGATTTTGGCATACTTTATTTCAGGGCCTACTGTAGCTAATTCAGTAATATTGTAAGCCTGTACTTTTGCATTTTTCTTGCTATTTGGAAATGTAGTGGATTTTTCACTTGGATTGAAATAGAATTCTGTACTGCATCAGTTTTTATGAAGTAGGATCTGTAGAAGTAATTAATTGTTGATACACCACAACATGTCCTTTGTATTTAACCCATATGTGACATTGCAGAGAGCAGCACCTCACTTAGGGTAATGTGCCGATCAGGGATTCAAACTATCAGCTTTTCAATCACAAGGTTGTATCCTTAACCATTTGGTCACTACTGACCATGTAAGTACTGTTATACTAGGAAGCCAAATATATGAACTTACGCAATAAAGCATTGGTTATAGAGAGAACCATAATTAGGAAATTGTGAAGATTTTCACGGTGTAACGTTCTATCCATATCATAAATCATAGGACTGCAAACCGGACTCCACTGATCTCCATAAAACGGAAGTATAACGCGGCGCGCATGCGCACAAGGGGCTGCCTTCCCTCTGTCGGCTAAGTCATGGCGCATCGAGTCGAGCTCAAGACGGATAAGATGCTTTCAAAACAGGTTTCTGAGCATGAACACGTATTTTTTAATGCCCTGTTTTCTAGATATAGTTGCGCTATCCATCGAGGCCTAATTTGATTTTCTTTTAAATTATTATTCCCTGTTAGCTACATAACATGCTAGCTCGCATGGCTTCTAGTTTGCCATGTGAAGTTACACTGTGCGATTGTTTTGCAGGGTGAAGAAAAGGTTGACTGGAAAAAGTGGAAAGCAGAACGTAAGTTATTTTACAATCCAAAGTGTTTAATTTTTGCAAGTTTGTTAGTAACTGTAAGTCTGTAACTGAAAGGTAATTTTTTTTATCTTATGCTACGGATGTAACAGTCCATCCAGTATGCATCCAGGTGTTTCGTGCATAAATATTGTCATTCTGCATCTCATCTGCGGCATGTCCAGCGATCAGTTCGCCCGCTAGTTGTATTATTTTTTTGGGTTAATTACCGTGTTATCGGTCGTTTCTGTCGTATAGTTATGACGAGTTTTCATATTTAGTTTAATCTACCCTCGTGTCTTACTCTACTTATTGTACCACATATAATTGAAGCTTATGTCATGTCAAACAGTCTGTATTTAGACCGATCAGCCATAACATTAAAACAACTGACAATTAATAACACCAATTATGTCATTCCGCCTGTCGAGTGCCATTATATATTAGGCAAGTGAACAGTCAGTGCTTGAAGTTGACGTGCTGGAACCTAGAAAAATGAGCAAGTGTAAGAATCTGAGTGACTTTGACAAGGATCAAATTGTGATGGCTAGAGAACTGGGCCGGAGCATCTCCAAAACGGCAAGTCTTGTCGTCTATTCCCAGTATGTAGTGGTCCAAGTAAACCGGTGAACCAGTGATGGGGTCATGGGCGCTAAACACTCATTGACGTGTGTGGGGAGCGATGGTCACCATGGGAAGAAGGCAAACTGGTGGAAGCAGTGTTCTACTGGGAAACCTTTGGTCCTGGCATTCATGTGGCTCTTACTTTGACATGTACCACCATCCTAAACATTGTTGTAGACCAAGTATATTCCTTAATGGCAACGGTATTCCCTGACGGTAGTGGTCTATTTCAGCAGGATAATGCACCCTGCCACACTGCAGAAATTGCTCAGGAATGGTTTGAGGAACATGGAAAGAGTTCAAATTGTGTTGACTTGGGCTCCAAATTCCCAAGATCTCAATCTGATGAAGCATCTGTGGGATGTGCTGAAAGAACAAGTCCGATCCATGGAGGCTCCAACCTCACATCTTACAGGACTTACAGGATCTGCTGCTTACAGGATGTTTTGGTGCCAGATACCACAGGACATCTTCCGAGGTCTTTTGGAGTCCATGAGTCAGAGCTGTTTTGGTGGCATGATAGGGATCTACACAATATTAGACAGGTGGTTTTAATGCTATGGCTGATTGGTGTACCTTTCTGAATGGCCTTTCTATTGGTTGTTCATAGTTATTATCATAATAGTACTGCTACTGAAAGAGCAATTCAGTGGTTTCTACTTCTGTTTAACAGTTTGCTCCTGCTTAGATTTGCATAATTAATTGTCTCAGTTCAGAACCATATTAGCGTTACATTTAGGGTGTTTACTTTTCACACCATGCTTCATGTGTTGCATATAATTATGTACATTATATGACCAAAAGTATGTGGACACCAGCTTTTCCAAATCTCATTCTGAAACCAAGGGTGAAGTTGGTTTGTCCATTGTTGCTATAATAGCATGTGGTCTTCTGTGAACGCTTTCCATTAGATGCTGGAACATTGCTGGTGGGATTTGCTGCTATTCAGGTTTGGTGAACTGACCCAGGTTTGGTCCCTTTCTGTGAGCTTGTGTGGCCAAATGCTTCATAAGTGCCCTCTAGCAGGGCAGAAATATGGTGAACTGACTTGGGACGATTGTGTCCTATGATAGTGCCAAATAGAATGTCGCTAACCTCTCCTGTACAGCCACCCATCCTACTGCTAATTATCATTTGGGGAGACTGCATGACTGTGCTTAATTACACACCTGTGAAAGCAATGGGTGTGGCTTAATAAGGTAATTCCTCCAACTAGGGGTGTCCACATACTGTTGGCTATACAGTATATATATGTATTGTGCGTAAGGCTGAGTGATATCACATTGTAGTTATCTGAAATATTTGCAGTTAATATAGTGTTATCTATAAAACGAAAAAGATTAAATTTACCCAAAATATACTCTGCATATCTTTAATAAATGTATCAGACTTTAAACTGCAAAAAGTCCTGCCACACCACCAATGTATTTTTACTTAGTTTAACTACTAATCTCCTCTTTTAAATGATGTTGAGCTGTTCCTTTCTTCACCGCCACTTCAGTGCTTATCGCTTCCATGATTTACCAAAACAGTAGCATGTGGCGTGCTCCGGTAATGAAGTTGAATAAATACAAGGATATGCCAATTTTAAACAAATTACTAACTTTTGGGCATCACAATATGCCTCTAGTTAATATTTTAGCCATACTACTAATCTGCTTATCAAATTGTGCATATAGGGGCAAAAGCCAGCGTCTGGGCAAATTTTTTACGCCATTCGTCTACAACAAACAACAAATTTATTTTTGTATAATGCATTATCACAACATTACATCGTCTCAAAGTGTTTTACAACCTCCCCACCCAAAGCCCCCAGTGAGTAAACCATAGGCCCCGGTGATTATTGCACATTGTATCACAATATCATGCAGCCTTATTTCTGTGTCCAAACAAAATAACAGTAATGCAGATTTGGTCAGTCTTCAAAAAAAATCCTGAATGAATATATTTGAATTTCAGGAAGAGAGGAAAAGAAGAAACGGCAAGAGGCCAAACTTATTAAACAGCTGGAGCAGCAAAAGCAGCTCGAAGAACATGAGAGACAACAGCTGATAGAGGAGACAGGAAGAAAGAAGAGAGGTGATGTACATGTGAAAGGGCGGTGCTCGGGACGGAGGTGGAGTACGCGCGAAAGGGCGGCGCTAGGGACGGAGGCGGAGTACGCGCGAAAGGGCGGCGCTCGGGACGGAGGCGGAGTGCGCGCGAAAGGGCGGCGCTAGGGACGGAGGCGGAGTACGCGCGAAAGGGCGGCGCTCG